ATGAAAATCATATTGGTTCGATATGTTCAGATTTATATTAGAACCAAAAAAAAAAGGTGTTCCATTAATAGATTTAAAAATTACTCAACCGTAAGGTGAAAATTAAAGTTGGTTCATTGTTTTAAACGTGGTCAAACAATTAACTAAACCATCTATCATTATATAAAAAGAATAACCTTTTTATAAATTTAGAAACTTTTTCCCGCCAAAATCATTAAAAATAACGTAAATATAGTAATTGTTGGATAATTGTGAATAGGCACAAAAATCGGCTCTGTAATTGCATTGTTTCCTTAATTCTAGCTTGCAACAATAAATCCGATTGGCTTTTGGTTTAAACTTTCCCACAAAAATCTCATATCATAAATCTACACGAGTTTATCTCTTATTTGTTATATTGCATACGATCTCACGAGTTTAAAAAATCTCATCTCTTATCTATAAAGATTTTAAAAAATAAAATAAAATAAAAACCAATTCATAATTACTACTAGAAATCCATTATCTACTAATTTTCATCGGTCTAACTACTAATATTTTTACAAATATTATAAGCTAACAATACATCCTCGATAACAATGTAAAAAAAAATAATAACAATGGTGTGTAATCAAATATTCGAGTTTATCTCTTATTTGTTATATTGCATACGTCTCACGATTTTAAAAAATCTCATCTCTTATTTATAAAGATTTTAAAAAATAAAATAAAATAAAAACCAATTCATTATCTACTTTAAAAGGCTAATTTTCATCGGTCTCATTACTAATATTTTTACAAACATTATAAGTTAACAATACATCCTCGATAACAACGTAAAAAAATATAATAACAATGGTGTGTAATCATATATTTTTTTAGATGGAAGTAACAGCATAAATTCGGTATTATCTGACATAATGTCTATTAAATTATGCTCATAACATAATGTCTTTATTAAATTATTCTCATAATATTTTAGATACTTTAAACGAATTGTTTAGACATTTTTTTTACATATTCTTCTATACATACATATACACATACATAATTGATGTTAAATTTAAATATTTGTAGACATGTTTTCCTTACAAAATAGTCTAGAATTTTTTTTTTACGCCATGCTAAATTCAAATGTTTTTAAATATGTTCCTTCTAAAATTGTTTAGAAAAATTGTAGGCGACTTCACATCTTTCAAAAATAACTAGTGTATATCCTGTCCGATGCACAGAGATGTTCATATTTTAAACCTTTCTTTAGAATTTATTTTAAATATAATTGTTTATATTTTTTACATTTCATTTCATTATGTAAAATAAATATAAACAATGAAAAACATAAATATCAATAGCTACCGTTGCCAGAGCCACAGCCGTTGCTCCCACCATTCCCACCGCTTCCACCCACACGACGCGACCCACCTCAAAACCCACCCTTGCCACTTTGCGACTATTCCGACCGTCGAGCGCTTGGGAAGGAAGAATAAATAAGGGAATAATAAAAAGATAAAGAGGAAAAGAATAAGGGATGATGGAAAAGAAAAAAGTCATTAATATAAAAATTGGTATATAAGTATATTTATGATGAATCTTTGAAAATCCAATAACCAAATTTAGATTATATCACATAAGAAAAAAAATAAATGATAATTTTTCATTAATATATTTAAAAATAATTTTGAATTTCAAATAAAGTAAAAAGCGGGATAATTCAAATTTGTTTTCAAAAAGTTTCTGAAATGATTAATATTTTGGTAAGTATATCTGTAAGAATAATCGTACCATTTTCATTTTACAAAATTTGGCAAGTTTGTTAATGCGATAAATTCAGTTAGATGAATAATTAATTAGTTAAAATACTATATTAATTATATTTTAAAAAATCCAGTTTGTTAAATGTGGATAAAAAAAATTATATTAATTAGTTTGTTACGAATGTGATTATATAGAAGTTAAGATAAAATGAAATGTACCAAAAAAATCTACTTGTGATATTTTTCTTTAAATATTTAAGTTTAAAAATATAATAACCAAATTTAGATTATCTGACATAAGGAAAAAAATAAATAATAAATGTTTATTAATATATTTAAAAATATAATATTTGACTTCAAATAAAGAAAAAGGCGGGATAATTGAAATTTGTTTTAGAAAGTTTCTAATGTTTAATATAGTGGTAAGTATATCAGTAAGAATAATTTCACCATTTTAATTTCAAAAATTTGGGCAAGTTTGTTAATGAGATAAATCCAGTTAGACGGATTGTTATTAATTAAAACATTAAAGTAATTATATTTTAAAAGATTTGGTTAGATATGTGGATTAAAAAAATATTATTTAATTAGTTTGGAATGTGATTACATGGAAGTTAAGATAAAATAAAATGTACCCAAAAAAATTGTTTGTGATTTTTCCTTTAAATGTTTGAATTTAAAAATATAATAACCAAATTTAGATTTATATCAGATAAGAAAAAAAAATAATAAATGTTTATTTATATATTTAAAAACATTAATTTGACTTTCAAATAAAGTAAAAGGCGGTATAACTCTTTTTTTTTTTCAGAAAGTGTTTAAAATAGTTAATATTTTGATAAGTATATCCGTAAGAATAATCATACCATTTTAATTTCAAAAAAATTGAAAAGTTTGTTAAAGATAAATCCGGTTAGATAAATAATTAAGTAATTAAAATTTTATATTCTTTGTATCTTAAGAAAGAGGTTTATTTAAATAATTAATTAATTATTGTATCTTACCAGGGCGGCAGTCTTGACCAAAAATAATTTATTAGTGTAGATTATATGAAAGTCAAAATAAAATGAAAATTCATTTAAATGTTTGAATTTAATTTTTTTCCAAAAATTTTCAAAAACACATTTAGGCGGGATATTTCTAAAATTTTCAAAACATTGCTATGTTTAGTAAATTTTTAGGCGGGAATCTGAATTATTTTTTAGTTACTCTTTTCGGATTTTTTGGATTATCTCTAAATTTTGATTACTCTTACAAATACTAATATAATATTTTAGGTGTTTTCAATATTAAACATACAAATTTTATATTCTCTTATAGAAAATAATGTAAATTTTATATTCTCTTATACAAAATAATTTTACATTGTTTGACCCCGAATTTTTAATTTATAATTATTAAGTATTATTATCCTCTTCTTTAATTTATAATTATTTTTTTTCTTCCTCTTTTCAAATAAGATCAATGGTAATTTCCACTTCTGCCATTGAGTGACTCAAACTCGAGGTCTATTTATAATATTGTTAATTGAATATTGTTCCCGTGCATCGCACGGGGTACACACTAGTATTGATGAAAGTGAGGTTGAATTAAAAAAAGTGGTTGAGTTAAAATGTTGAAATTTTTTTTTGAAAATTTTTCATACACAAACATGCTCTTAGTAATTAGGCTGCTATTTTGTTATATTCTAGAAAGCAATAGTGGGCTGGGAATTAAGAAGCTTAAGAATTGAGTAAGCCAAGATGCATAGACTACTTTTTGGGCTGGCACAAGTGGATTTTAAAACTTAAGAATTGCGCAAATTATTGCCAAGATACATACATTGTTTTGGGTTGCCACATGAATAATTTACTTTTGGGCCTTTGATGATTTGGAAAGGGGAGCAGTTGGATGCAATGGTTACAATTTCGATATATCAGTCTAGAGATTCTTTCGAGAAGGGAGTATTGTCATGTACCCGATATATAGGGAATAGACTTTTGTTAGGAAGCAATAGTATATTAATATTTTAGCTACCTATTTTATATATTAGTTTTATTATAGTACGGGATGGTTTTGGGCCTTAATCATGTGTTAGATGGATTTGTGCTTAGCCTTTTATTATAGTTAGTAGTTGATGAGTTAATATTTGTATTAGTTATCTATAAGTATGTGGTGGGTACTAAATCAAGTAACAAGAAATTACATCACAAAAACTTTAGCTCAGGTGTTCTATTCCTTTCTCCCTTCATCTTACTCTTCTTCTCAAACTAAATCCAAAAAATTATACTAAAAAAATAGAAAATCAATACAAACAATTCTCCAAAATTCCTACTAACACATGAAAAAATAGTAATGCTCGATGAACGCTCATGCATTTATAATACTGCTTACACAAGTTAAGTCTTATTTTAAGTACTAAAGAATGTTTTATACTTTCTGCAGTTAAATTCCAACATAGGTCTTCTCAAAACCATTTTGGACACACCTCACTGTCAAATTGGCAGTCCAAGATTGGAAGGCTTATTTGGAGAGCAGAAAAGTCAGGTCTCTTGTTGTTTTTTGTTTTCTTAGTGATAAGCTAGAATCTGTGATCAGTGGCTTGTCTTTGGTTTTATTGTCTCTGTGTTGTATTTAATGCTGCCTATTAAGAGTAAATGTTTCAGTAATATTTCTACTGCTTTATTCTTAGTAAATAGGCAGGATTTGTG